GGGTTAAATTTTCTAGCTGTGACCTTTCGGCATACAATACCTTTTCGACTTGATTGGGACTACTTCAAGATGGATATCAAAACGGGCAATAATTTGAATGGAGCTCCTTTCCTTCCCACTCCTAACCCAAATGGGGTCTACCACGAGCCACATCTGCTCTTCCTACTCCAGACACCACAAGCATCACCTCTCCGGTTTGGGAAGGAAATTCATATGAATTTTGTTCTCCCAATCCGGCCCCTCCCAAAAATGGCATGGTGCCTGTAAAAAATAACATGTTTTAAGAAGCGATTTCTCAAATCCAATTTTTTCCACTAATTTCTCACCATTATCGGTGGAGGTACTGCATAAGGCCTCAGGTCTTACCTTAAAGGCAGGAATGCGACAACTGCAGGGCAGTGCGGTTTTGATGACGTCATTTGGAACGTCACCAGTAGATGACCCTGGCGGTGTGTTGGACTACAACCCTCCACCAGTGAAGTTTGAACGGCATCACCAAAACCGCGCTGCCCCTCATCGTCGTGAACACTGCCTTTGAACCCTACCACTCATGTCCTCAAAATCCATCAGGATGGGGATGCGGGAAGGGGTTTCTAGTTGCTCTAGGGTGTATACAGTAATAAAATAGTGAAAAGTGCTGAAATCGTATAGACATTCCGAAAAAATCTTCGCACCATTATTTTGAGGGTCAATCCTTTGACACTTACCCCACTTGGCCCTATCACTGGGGCTTTGTGGCCTACATACCTACCCTTGTACACGACATAGTCCCACCTGTTCCTTTATTTGGTCACCAACAAATTTCCCATACGAAATCTTGGAACCCAAAGAAAGAATTCCCTGGCGACAAGCGACGTTTGTTTTGAGTGAAATTCCGAAAGCCCTGCTCAGGCACCTGCGGCACTGATTCCCCGGGGGAGGCTGTTGTTGAGTAATGCCGAACTATTCAGCGAGTTTGTTTCTCTCACTTTCATCGTCATTAACCCAATTCTCGTTGGGAAGCTGTCCAAATGGCCTGCAAAGAAACGAGAACACGTCTATCACTCGCACACGACAGGCCTGCTATGGCTAAGAATAGCCTCAACTGGGCTGTGAACTCCCCCATTCCCCTCTGACACATCACCGAGGATTAATGAATTCTCAACGCAGTTACGTGGGATACTACGCCTATGTACATGTGATCATTGGCCATGCTACCCATTTAGCGCAATTTTCGTCCCAATCAGACCGATTACCGACTCAGGAGGACCTTTCTGCTAAAGGCCAGGAGTCACTAGCCATGATCCTTAGCCGTCCAACGTCCCACGGTAATTGGGAGGTAAATTGCAGCTGAGGCCAGGAGTCACTAGTTTGCACCGGGTGAACACCGCTAGGGTATGGCGTCAAGTTATCAACTAGAATGGAAGAAATAGGTTTTCTGGTAGTTTGCTTCCGAAGGGGATGAATACCGCTGAGAAGTCAGTGAGACCCTTGAGGGTGCATCTCCTGTTACTCTGCAGATCTCTCCAGGTTACCCTGCAAATTCTGCTTTGAACCGCCTTTCACGGCTCCCCTAGCCAAATCTGTCCCATAGCTGAATGAGCAGCTCTGAGCCGGGATGACCATGTATTGAGGAAAATTTTGTCAAAACGACTCCGTCTTCTAGTGAATACGACCCCATTCTCTCTCTTCCCGACCCCAACCCCTTCCTCCATCTCCTCCACCTCCCGATAGTGGTGTCAGTAGCGTCACCGAGCTGATTTCCCACTCTCCCTAACCGCTTTCCCTTGAACGCCCAAAATACATTTGCAACACCAACGACCCTAAAAGCCCCAGGTGCAAGACACCCTCCACCAAGCGAGGTAAATACGACCCCGTAACGTGTAAAGTCCCTGATTGTGGCTCACCCTAGTATGAGCCCACTCCAACTTACGGGGGGGGGCGTTCGCAGAAAATTGGAGAATTTTGTATTTTCATTAATGGCATTTCCTCTAATTTAACCTAGTTAACACTCATTGTCAGTGCAAATTATCATCTATTCATTTCATTATAAAAAAATTCAATTTTACGAAAGCATCCTATTTTAAAAGCACAAGAGACGTAATTACGGAATTCAGACGGAAATTTGAAGGATATTCAGTCTTTAATTTCAGAACTATCGAGGGAAACGTGTGCCAAAACGTGGTTGTAGAAATTCATAACGCATCCACAGTACATTTTGTGCTAAAAGATTTACAGGTGAGTTTGGCAGAAGAGCCCTAAGAGAATGTTTTTGGTTCCGGACTTACTGACACACTCATTCAGGTCCCTTCTGTTGTTACACAAATTTTTACCGAATACCGCGGAACAAATACGTCTTGCTACTACCCAGCTTTCCCTGTCCTGGCAGACCAGCCGTTGCGATTGTTTCCAACAGGTAACTAATTTACAAATCTTTGTAGACATTGCAAGAATCGATTTTTTTGGTGCGCAGGTGATCGCTGCGGGACCGGCCAGAACCTGATCAAGTTTGGGATCAATACAACTGCTCAGTGCTTGGTGG